AAGCCAGCCCGTAACCAAGGCACTGACGCGGTGGCTACCGAGGAATACAATGGGCCGGGTTAAGCCCCTTCTACGCTATGCACTGCAGACCGTACGAGGAGCTATGCAATGCAGTGAGAGACCAGGTCTGAACACTGGCCTGGGAGCCGGGAATGTGCAGGTTCTAATCCCCTCCCCCACAACCTCACTTGCCTCAGTCTCCCCTCTGTACCACGGGGATGAGGATGCCGGCCTGCCTCCCAGGGCGCTCCAAAGAGTCATGTTTGTAAAATGCTTTGAGAAGAAAGAGCCCACTTTTAGGGTGTTTAGGGTATTGCCAAAATTAGCCTTCTGGTGCCAACAGAAGTGCAGCTGTGATTTTTAAAGCACACTGCTCACCCAAAACAGACACCCCTCCTCCCCCCATCCCCTGCCAGACAAGAAGGACTGCAAATTCTGGGGGGGGGGGGGGTTACATCTGAACGTGGCTTTTGCACAAAGACCCGCCCTACTTCTGGGGAAAAGGGTAGGCAGCCAGGGCCTGCTTTGATTGCTCAGGTTCAATGCTCCATCACTATTACAGGGAAGGAAGTTTGCAGAGTCACTGTGGTGTGATCCACACTTTGCAGTGCACATGAAGAGGCCGGAGGAATTCACTCTGGTAGGAGCCACCCTGAAATAGGGCACGCTCCTGCATGAATGATGGTGACTGGAAGACACTGCAGGTTGCTAGAACTGGGATTCGGATGGTATCAATGACTGGTTGCTAAGATAAGAAGCTACTGGTGAATCTCTTCTTATGCCATTTGTGGGTATTCCCCCTATTTTCACCTCATTTCTCTCTCCGGAGCAGAGCCCCATGTCTGAATTACACCTCATCTTGCATCCACAGAGTTGGAACCAAGCCTGTTGCTTTGTCCCGATTTCTACCTTAAAAGGCTTTGCAATGATTTAAAAACAAAGAAAAAAACCACAACTTGGGCCGTCCCTATTGGAAGGGCTGCCTGATCAGAAGATTGGGCTGTCTCCGAGCTCTGACCAGATCAAGGCGTCTCCGCAGTTTGCAAGCTAAACTGAGGAGACTGTGGCCACGTGCACTCTCGTTTTCCAATCATTTTCTCAAAGTGGTCACCAGCCAACGGTAGCATGTTCACAGTCAACTAAAAACGTGCCTGGATAGAGACTGGGATCCAATTTAGGAGCACGCAATATTCTTTTCCAGGAGCAGAAACTCAGGTGCAATGCTCAGACTGCTACCCAGCTGCCGAGTTCATCTGCTGGGGGTAGGACGTAAAATGGATCCTTTTCTGTTTGAGAAGAATATCCAGCTTGCCAGCTTTTTTACTCTATTAATTGATTCACAGATGTTTAAGGCCATAAAAAGCCACTTGACCTAGTCCAGTGTTTCTTAAACTGTGTTCTGTAGCACACCGGTGTGCAGTGAGGCAGTCGGAGGTATGCCGCGGAGAACAACAGAATTAAAAATGGCCACCCTTAAAGAGGCAGGGAACCTTTCTTTTTCCTCCCTCAATTTTCCCCAGCCCTTTTTTCCCCCCTCAAAAACTCCCCCCCCCCTACCTTTTTTTTTTTTTTTGGCTCAACAAAAAATTCTCGGTGTTCCTCATAAAAAAAACTACCGTTTTGTGTTCCTTGGTCTTAAAAAGTTTAAGAAACACTGACCTAGTCTGATATGCTCATATCACAGGCTATTCAATTTCACCCAGTGACACTTAGCCAAATACAAGTTGTTTGGTTGAACTAACATTTACCCTCCAGAAAGATAACCTCTCTTCATTGGGAGACATCTAGAGATGGAGAAACCACCATTTCTCCACTTAGGGAGGAACAATCCGTTTCTCACACACAGAGAACGGGAAGCGACTGTCTAGGAAGGATTACTGCTGAAAGGGATTTAGGGGTCATAGTGGACTCACATAAGTGACTCACCTAAGCTAAACGTGAGTCAGCAGTGTGACACTGTTGCAAACAAAGCAGACGTGATTCTGGGATGAATTAATGAGGGAGTGTTGTGAGCAAAACATGAAAGATCATTCTTTCGCTCTACTCTGCGCGGATTAGGCCTCAGTTGGAGTATTATGTCCAGTTCGGGGCACCACATTTCAAGAAAGATGTGGAGAAACTGGAGAAGGTCCAGAGAAAAGCAACAAAAATGATTAAAAGTCTAGAGAACATGAGCTATGAGCAAAGACTCAAAGAATTAGGTTTGTTTAGTTTAGAAAAGAGCAGACTGAGGGGACATGATAGCGGTTTTCAAGTATCTAAAAGGGGGTTACAAGGAGGAAGGAGAAAAATTGTTCTCCTTGGCCTCTGAGGCTAGGGCAAGAAGCAATGGGCTTAAACTGCAGCAAGGGAGGTTTAGGTTGGTCGGAAAAACTTCCTAATTGTCCGGATGGTTAAACACTGGAATAAATTGCCTTGAGGGAGTTGTGGAATCTCCATCACTGGAGATATTTAAGAGAAGGTTAGACAGATGCCTGTCAGGGATGATCTAAATGGTGCTTGGTCCTGCCACGAGGGCAGGGGACTGGACCTGATGACCTCTTGAGGTCCCTTCCAGTTCTATGATTTCCCTTGGTAGTCGGTCCAACGGTAAATCACCCTGTTAAAAACGTGGGCCTAATTTCCATTTTGAATGTGTCTGGCTGCAGCTTCCAGCCACTGCTTCTGGATAGGTCTTTCTCTACTGGATTCAAGAATCCTCTAGGACCCAGGAAGGCATTCGTACACTGTAATCAAAGCTCCTCTGATCAGCTAACCTGACTGATCTCTAAGGGTATGTCTACACTGACACCTTAGTTCGAACTAGGGATGCAACTGTAGGCATTCGAAATCGTCAGTGAAGCGGAAATTTAAATACCCCGCGCTTCATTAGCATGATCTTGCCAGCGCGTTACTCCCATCAACAGCTCTTTCAAAAGTGAAATTGTGAACCGGGACGCATTAGTTCGAACCAAAACCCTTGGTTTGAACTAACATTACTCCTCATTTTTTTAGTAGTAAAATGAGAAGGAACGTTCGTTCGAACCAAGGGATTTGGTTCGAACTAACGCATGCCGGTGCACACTTTCACTTTTCGAACGCCTGCATTTGCATCCCTAGTTTGAACTAGGGTGCAAGTGTAGACATACCCTAAGTCTCCCCTAAGCATTTTCTCCAGCCGGGAGTCCTTATTAAGTCTGTTTTCTGCAGCCTCTCCTATGTTTTCAACCTCTTTTTAAAAATGTGATAGTGAGTACATGCCAGTCTAATCAGTATCAGATACAGAGACAGACTCAGCCCCCGTTTATACACCTGGGTAGCAGCAGCCCGCTCTGCCACCGCCTTACACCGAGAGCTCATGGCTGTTCTGAACCAGAAATCCTTTGCAGGGTCACTGCTTTCCAGGATACATTTCACAGGTCTGGCCTGCATCCCTTGCCCCTAGACTTTGCATTTGGCTGGATTTTATTTGAATGGGCCCTGCTTACCAACCAATCTGGATTGCTCTGTATTAATACCCTCTCTTTATCCAGATTTACCCCTCTGCCAGCCTCTCGGTCATCTGCAAATGTTATCAGCTGTGGTTTGATATTTACTGCTAGATCCTTGGTAAAAATGTCTAACATCATCAAGCCTCGTACGGATGCAGAGGAATCCCACGGGTAATGTTGTTTCTCAGTGATTTGTCTCTGACAGCTTGTTTAGGAGATCTGTCAGCCAGTTCTTAACCTATTGAACGTGCATGT